ATATATTAACTTAGCACAAAAGTCAGGTGCTCGGCATAAGATTTATTGCCAAGTAGCATTGTTACAACAAAGAAATAATCTACCAAACACCAGTTCCCTTCCTTTTTATGCTAAGTATATAAACTCATCAAAACATTAACAGGCTGAAATGTTTATACGTTAAGGCCTATTTACATGCATGCATGCATGCATTATAATTTATAGGTCTATGTTTTTTTTTTTTTTTTTTTTTTTTTTTTTTTTTTTTTTTGCATATTTGAGGGCAATGTTTTTTTCAATGTTGACTTTTTTATTTTTATTTTTTTTCTCACGGGTGTTCTATTGTGCAGCCTTTTGTGTGCCCGCATGAAGCAGATAAAAATTCTGATGTAATGCTTTGAGAAAAACAGGTGACGTAATGTATACTGCAACACTGAGCCAGTGTGGCCAGGCATGCATGGACTTCAATTCTATGCTTTTATGACAGAGTGCGCAAACAGCATAAAACATATTGGACCTTGTTGGGGATGCTGGACAAAAGAAACGTTATACGGCGCCTGCAAGCCCCAACAAGTCTCTGTACATTTCCACTACACTGGCCCACARCCCCCTTCTCCACCCACCCACCTCATTTCCTCTTGTTTGTCTTTCTCCGCTGCTGGCATGTTACCAGGCAAGATACAGCTCAGATGGCGTGCCCCCGATTTTGATTGGCTGACGGGGAGGCGGGGGGTGTGGTCTCTCGGTTCTCGTATATAAACATTGTTGCGGGTCAGACTGCGGAGCTCGGYAGCTGGTGAGAGGACAGAGGAGTAGCAGTAGGTAGAAGTTTTCAGACAGCAGATAGAAACAATAAACTATTCAAATATTTCTCTGCATCAAAGACAACCAACTTGGAAGGAGCTGTATTCACCTAAATTGTAAGTACGATATAAATATTTGTCGGTTTTGTTGGTTTAAACTTGTTTTAAATGAACAAAATGCTACTTGCTAACACCGAAGTGTTCATGTCATTWGATTTTTAATGCTTTTATTATCAAGCCGCGGTTTAAATTTACACCATTTAGTTTAATTGCAACTCRTGGGATAGTAGTGTTTATTTGTGGCCCTTTGTTTCCCTTTAAAAAGCAGAAGCAGCTGTTGAATACTGCAGAGAGGACAATAATGCCTGAAGCCTTTGCCCCAATGGACACTTGCAACACACCTCCGTCCCCCGTGGACAGCCATCCCAGAAGGCTGTCCTGGGGCAAACTGGTCCAAAGACTGGCTGATTTCAACACAAACAGCTCCAGCATTGGGTCAGGGTCCAACCATGGCAGCAGGAGTGATCTGTCAGATTCAGGTGAGCGCAGTGATTCAGCTCTGTCTGATTCTTATTCAAAGTTATTCCCTGTGTACGTATTAAGTTCTGAAACGTTGCATTTCTTCTCCAGGGTCAGATATCTCCAATGACCTTAGTCCCTCGTGTGACGACGACCTGTTCTTCGATCCGATGGAGGAGACCATCCTGAAAGAAGTGGTGGATCTGATTGCGCGAAGCCTAAGAGAWGCCAAAAACACAGACTGCGCCCTGAGATGTAGCAAACTGCTCATCCCAGAGAAACTCCTGGAGCACATCGGACAGGAGCTCCTTCACCTGGCAGCTAGCGAGCCTTGCGGCTTAAGAGGGGCCCTCATCGACCTTTGCGTGGAGCAAGGGGCCGTCTGTGAGAGCATAGGACAGCTATCTGTGGACCCCTACCTTGTCCCCACCTTCCAGCTCACTCTGGTCTTGAGGCTAGAGTCCAGCGGCCTGTGGCCTAAACTTCAAGGACTGTTCCTCTCCAAGTCTCCCTCGGCTCCTRTTGTCAGACAAGCTATTAAACTCAGCACTAGTTTTCGTGTGATCAAGAAGAAACTGTATTCTTCTGAAGAGCTGCTCATTGAGGAATGTTGAACGGAATAAATGTCCGAGCTGACAATAACAGCTCACAGAAGGGCCTTCGAACTTCAACTTTATRTCTTTAGATGCGTGAGAATGGACTTTGGCATGATGTAGCCTTTTTTTTTTTCGTACTGTAAATGAGCTGATGTTTATGGTACTAAGAGCAGGTGTTGCTTCATCACTTGCTCACAATTAAACATTTCAAACCATTTGTCTGGTAAATGGGCATAAGTATTAAAGTGTGTACCTCAGTTTCTTTTGAAACTCTGTAAAGGGCAGCTAGTTGCATTGTTTTAACTGAAGACCATTTCTTGTCTTTTTTTTCTTGTTACCTGACCATATAGTGAATGTACTCCAGTTGATCACATTTGGATTATTGTCACTCCTTGATTAAAAGCCTATTCGTGCTTGTTTTTATGTGCAAGCTATGGCTAAAATGTCACCTTTGGACCTCTTGCTTTCAGCTTTATTTGACGTTTGAACTGTCATAACATTGCACAGTTTTATTTTGTACTTTTGTGATCACAAATAAATTATTGCTCTTTTTTTAAAAAAAATTGATGGCTTCCCTTCTCATTTTAGAAAACTTGTATCCGAATGACCTGTATGTATAATCAAAAGGACAATTCTCTGCTGCAAAATGCAAAAAACTACAGATGGAATCAATGTCAGAGTTAGCTTATAAAGATATTAGTTTAAAATCCCAACTGGGAAGATAAACAGAATTTTTCTAAAAGAGAATCCGTCATTGGATGCAAACTTTTTATTACACATTGTATAATAAATATTTATGTAATCAGTTGTGACCATATATATATATATATACAGCGGGTAAAATAAGTATTGAACACGTCAACATTTTTCTCAGTAAATATATTACTAGAGGTGCTAATGACATGAAATTTTCACCAGATGTTGGTAACAACCCAAGTGATCCATACATACAAAGAAATCAAACCATAAATGTCCAGAAATGAAGTTATTTGTAATAATGTGGAATGGCACAGGGAAAAAGTCTTGAACACACTTACTGAAATTTATCTAATACTTTGTACAAAAGCCTTTGTTGTCAATGACAGCTTCAAGACGCCTCCTGTATGGAGAAACTAGTGACATGCATTGCTCAGGTGTGATTTTGGCCCATTCTTCCACACAAACAGTCTTCAAATCTTGAAGGTTTCGTGGACCTCTTCTATGAACTCTGATCTTTAGTTCTTTCCATAGATTTTCTGTTGGATTCAGGTCAGGTGATTGGCTGGGCCATTCCAGCAGCTTTAGTTTCTTTCTCTGAAACCAACTGAGAGTTTCCTTGGCTTTGTGTTTGGGCTCATTGTCTTGCTGAAATGTCCAGCCACATTTCATCTTCATCGTCCTGGTAGATGGAAGCAGATTTTTATCAAGAATGTCTCTGTACATTTTTCCACTCATCCTTCCTTCAATTAATTTAAGTTTGCCAGTACCATATGCTGAAAAACAGCCCCACACCATGATGTTCCCACCTCCAAACTTCACTGTTGGTATGGTGTTTTTGGGCTGATGTGCAGTGCCATTTGACCTCCAAACATGATGTGTATTCTGGCATCCAAACAGTTCAATGTTGGTCTCATCTGACCAGACTATATTCTCCCAGTATTTCACAGGCTTGTTTAAATGTTGTGCAGCAAACTTTAAAGGAGCTTCAACATGCTGTTTCTTCAGCAGTGGAGTCTTGCGTGGTGAGCGTGCATACAGGCCATGGTGGTTCAGTGCATTACTTATTGTTTTCTTTGAAACAATCGTACCTGCTAATTCCAGGTCTTTCTGAAGCTCTCCACAAGTGGTCCTTGGCTCTTGGACAACTCTTCTGATGATTCTTTTCACTCCTCTGTCAGAAATCTTGTGAGGAGCACCTGGTCGTGGTCGGTTTATGGTGAAATAATGTTCTTTCCACTTCTGAATTATGGCCCCAACAGTGCTCACTGGAACCTTCAGAAGTTTAGACATTCTTCTGTAACCGATGCCATCATTATGCTTTGCAACAATAAGGTTGTGAAGGTCTTGAGAGAGCTCTTTACTTTTACCCATCATCAGATGGTTCTTGTGTGATACCTGGCCATCATTYGGGACTGAACCAGCTGATATTAACTTGCACTGACAAGGGACAGACTTGCTTTCTAATTACTGAGAGAGTTCAGCTGGTGTCTTGGCTTTCCATGCCTTTTTACACCTCCCTTTCTTCATGTGTTCAATACTTTTTCCCTGTTGTCACCGACATCTGGTGAAAATTTCATGACATTAGCACCTCTAGTAATATATTTACTGAGAAAAATGTTGACGTGTTCAATACTTATTTTACCCACTGTATGAGTGCTCATTGTTGTGGATGAGTCTCAGCTACAACTTCACCAAGTTTTTGTGTTTTTCAAAGTCAGTTAGCTCTGGCAGCTTCTTGCCTTTTTATCATTTAATGACCCTTCGTGTATTTCAAGAGCTTACGCCAGTCAAGATAGAAGAAAACTTTTGAAACGTAGTTACTCTAAAAACTATTTCTAGCTAACTAAGCATGTATTTATAACCATTATTTATCATTTGAAAGGTTGAATATTTAGGCTTTCTTGTCATTTGCCAGTACCCTTATTACCATGTATTTACAAGGTAATAAAAATGGTAATTACATGTAACTACTACCTTATTACCATGTAATTACATGGTAATTAGGGAACAATTTTACTATGTAATTGTCTGCAGTAATGTAGCACTTACCTGGTAATATATTACAATTCACTATGTAACACCTACACACTCTAAAAATGAAATGTTGGATTTACTTAACCATGTTTTGTTACTTGGTTCCACTTAACTGAGTTAATTCAAATCAATATACTCATGTTCTTTGGTTGAAAAACTGGTATATTGCTTTGAATTTACTCAACTCAGTTAAGTGGAACTAGGTAACGTAACATGATTAAGTAAATCCAACATTTTATTTTTTACAGTGCATAAGTAGTAGGTAATTTGGACAGTTTTAAATTTGTATTTTATTGCAATTAACCACTAACCCCAAAATTTAGTTTTGGTTATAAATATATTGTTGTGTTACATTTGAATAGTAATTTTATTGTAGTTACCCAATAAAGGTAGTTTTTCTAACATTAGTTTTTTCTTTTGTACCCTAATTACCACGTAATTACATGGTAATAAGGTAGTATTTACATTTAATTACCATTTTTATTACCTTGTAATTACATGGTTATAAGGGTACCGTAAAARGAACAAGTGACAAGTATAAGAGCAACACATGGTGTTGAAAAGTTTTCTAAACTAGAAAAAAAGAAAAGAAAAAAGAAAGCACTGTCAGCGCAGGGTTGCAACATCTGCCACAAACAGCTGAACATATTTTTAGAGAAACAGAATGTGACACTGCTCCGGCTGTTCGTCACACTGCACGTCTCTGTACGTGTGAACGTGCACGCTGCCATGCGTCCACTTCCACAGCCTGAGTCAGCCTGCCGGCACAGTTTGTGCTGACTGAGCTTTTGTTTTCTCTCCTTCGTGTTTGTTCGGGGCGCAGCAATGACTCACATCCAACACGTTAGGGCATACAGATTTATTTTTCCTCTGGGAGTTAAAAACAAGGTGGAAAATGGGAGCAAGATCTCWGTTTTTTTTTTTCATCTCRATCTGTTCAACTATTTGTTAAATAAATACAAAGAACAAATGACGTGCCATGATCTAAGATGAGATCTGAGACGTCATAGGTGCAGAGCTACAACCTCAGTTCTTAAAAAGTTGGGACGTTGAATAAAACATCAATAAAAACTGATTTGTGAATCTCATAAACTCGTATTTTACACAACGAAACATTAAAAATCAAATGTTCAGGAAAAATAAGGTAATTTTGAAATGGATGTGAGCATTACTCTCTGAAAGTTGATCATGTTTACGTCTTCAGCAGTCTGCAAATGTTTAGGGACTGAAAAAGTTCTTGTTTTTTAAATWTTCCAAACTATATTATGAAATATGCAAGGCTTTGCTTTAAAAAAAAAGACATATTCTGGATGGAAGTATAATCTAAAACCTGTATATTGATGCTTTTCAAATGTGCTGCTCATATCAATAATGCACCCACATACTATCAGAGAGGCTTGGCTTGTACACTAATAACTTGATGGATGGTCCAGCTTCACAAATCATCCTGTTTTTTTTATTTCCGTTCTACACAACATCCCAACATCGATGACGTGGTCGCACAATCTGCTGTAGTTTCTCGGTTCGTAGGCACACGTCTCACCTTTTTGGTAACTACTGAGAAGTGAAGAAACACTAAAAATCTGCCCTTCCTAGAATGAAAGAAAAGAAATCCCAACATTTTCTATTTCACACATACACGACAAGGAAAGACAAATCTCAGGTGCTCAAGTGTCCAGGATGTTTAAAAAAAAGGTTCCTGCATAGTTTAAAAAAGTGCGCTTTAGACAGCGAAGACGTCTTCTTCGCTTATCCAACTGCATCAAAATAAAAAGGAAGCATTCAGTGTGGTAGGTTTTTTCTTTTGAGCTGCTGCGTTAGTAGCATCTGCATCACTATTTAGAACTAAAGGAGTTTCTGGTTTCACATGGCTTTCTCAAAGGTGAAGTGATCTTTGTCAGCTTTACGGCTTCCGGTCAAAACCAAAGCATTCGCCAAACGCCAAACCGACATCTTGTTTGGCTGTATAAATGTGATAAATGGCTTTTTCTTTTAAAGTTAATCACAATATATAGAAATGTTTCAGTTAATTTCATAATGTAAAACTCCACAGATCTGGTTTCAGCCTGCGGTGAAGGTTCAGCCGTCTTTAGCCCCTGATCTCTTGAAGCTTCAGTATTTACAGCCAGTTGTGTCTTGTGAGGGTTCTGGAAACCTGAAGACAAAAAGAATGGGGGAAAGGAGTGTTTTGACTTTTGTTTTAAAGGAGGACAAAAATAATAAATTGTTGGTATCAATTGTCTTTGGGAAAACGTGCTTTTAATGTAACGAGGCGGTGATGTCGGACAGCTTGACGCAGCTCGGGGTTCGAGCCCTCTGCGCTCTTTGGTACAGCTCGGTGTCTCCGAAATAGCGAGCTCTATACAGCATGCCTTCCTCTGCAGCAAACCGCACAAAGAAGTCATGTGATACGTGAGTGGCAGCAAAGCATAAAAAAATTTAATTGTTGCAAAATGACTGATTGCAATCATACTTTGTTGCTTCTCCTTCCAGCAGTTATTGCGAAGGTTTGAAATGTAGTCATCCTCCACCGATCGCTCCAGGTTCTTCAGATTCACTCCGGTGAACTCTTTGGAGAAATGCTCCCCCACGTAATATGGCACCTTCAGGTTCTCGGTCAGCCTCTTCTGGGAGTAACCTGCTGACCTGCGAGCAGACAGGAAGGACAGATCGAGCACGGGTGCACGTCAGGTCAGTTCAGAGGAAGTTTTGTGACCAGAGCTTATGCTGCAGTTTCAGAAATGCTTCTCTTTGTTAAAGTGATGATGAATTTCACACAAAACTGCCTCTGAGGCCTGAGAGCCATGGGATTATTCAGAATAAACTGAGGCAACACAAAGCTAAATAATTTTAAAAAATATATTCACAATCATTTGCTTTATGGGTTATATTAAAAAAATTGAATCAAACGCTTGTGGTAGTTCTTTTTTCTTTTTAGTTATGCAGAAAACACCTTCATTATGTTATTTTACACCCTTCTCAGGTGGGTGACACTCACGGCCTGAAGCTGAGGCTGTAGGAGGGGCTGTTGACCATAATCTGACTGAGAGCAGACACTATAACCAGGATAAGGATCGGCATGACCTGCACGAAGAGAGCCAGACCTCCCTGCAAAAGAAAACAACATGCAAGCAGAGAAAAAAAGATCTCCTTAAAAAAAGGTTGAATTTGTAAAACGGTTAAATGTCTCCCCCTGCTGGCAAGCACCACAAACTACATTGTTTGCAAGTTAGACTCACATCTCTTGGTCGCTCTCTTCGCTCCCTCTGGTTCCGCATTCGTCCATTAGTGTATATAGGACCATTACCTAGAATAATATAGGACGTTTAGCTTTTAGCAGATGCATCTTAATAACCATCCTTAGTGGGAAACAGAATGCCCAAAACAGTGACACTAACTGGAAGGATAACCTCCTCCAAAGAACATGTTGAAGAGGTCCTCAGGTGAAATGTCCGGCTCAAAGCTTCCATTGTCCTGGCCCCTGTTTGACGGATGTCTCCCCTCTTCTCCACACTGATCGTACTGTCGTCTCTTCTTGGCGTTACTCAGAACAGCGTAAGCGTTTCCAATAGCTGTGGAGGAGCACAGTATGTAGAAATCACCCACATTTTCCCTGTGTGACGGCAACGTTTGCGACGAGATCACCTTTAAACGCTTCGGTCGCGCCCGGAGCGTGATTCTTGTCGGGATGAAATCTCAGAGCGAGTTTTCTGTACGACTTCTTCAGCTCGTCCTCCGAGGAGTCTTTCTGGACCCCGAGAATCTCGTAGAAGTCTTTACACTGTTTTATCCTGGGTGCACGGTTAGAAATGTTAAGTGCTGCACGAAGACTGACTTATGTCTGCATCCTGTTCCAGCGAGTCCGTACCTTCTAACTGCAGCCAGCTGATCTGCAGTGTAGGGTTTGGAGTTGTCTGGAAGCTTCTCTTCGGGTTTGGGATCTTCCTTGGTGTTCTGTCGTTGTCGAGACCCCGAGACCCCACTGAAGTCCGAGTGGCCACCTCGTCCTGGACTGAATCCATTCCTGGATATTAAATCTAGGAGTGCTGATAGAGAATGTCTCATAACTCTCAGAAACATTGGATAGAACTCTTTACCTTTTGGACTCAACACAATTAAAGATGGCCGCCACGGCCAACTGACCTTAATTCTGACTATTATACGGATATTGAGCTAAAACCACTAACAAATCCTCAGAGCACTACATACTTTGCAATGTTTTTGCTTAAAGTTTTAACACTACTAACTTGTGAATGGATGGGTGAATTTTAATGAAGCTCTCAGAGAGTAATCGATGGCTGCACATCTAAAACCCATTAACTTTTGGAGTGAAGACAATTCAAGATGACCGCCACAGCTTATCGACATTAGCCAACACAAAGTTTTGGAGTTTTACAAAGCTGAACTTGGTGTGGTAGTAGCTGAGAGTCATCCTCAGCACATTCTCTGAGGGCTAACGGACGATGCCAAATTTGTTTTAAAAGAAACATATCTTAACCACAGAACCACTTTTGACTTTGGTGAATTAATTATACCAACCTACCTAACTTAAAGTGTATTTGACATGCATATTCTTCAAATACAAAAAGTCAAAGAAAACATCTTTATATTTAAGAAAGTTGGAATAATACACATGATTTAACCCATTTTGTCCCATWACTGGCATATTTTCTTTTGAACTTGGCTCAGCCAAAGTGAAACAGGAAGTGACATCAAAGGGGAACTCTTTAACAAAGAAAACTCTCTGGTCTTTGTTTACTGAAACATTATTATTTGAACATTGATTCTTCTTCATCTCTGTAACAGTGACTCAAAATGATCTAAACAAACATCAGATTCTTCTCTACAGCCTGTGTTGTTGGCTGTTGTAACAACGCTCTGTTTACATGCAGACGTTCCCCTTTGACATCACTTCCTGTTTCATCACATGCAAATATCTCAACAGCTGTTCATCTCAGCGACATGAAATTAATTTTGCAATATTTTATCAATGTCCTCTTTCTAAAAATGCATTCATATGTAATACAAAAGTCTGATGTCACAGGCACTTTAAGAAAGTATTAAAGTATATTTTTTCTAGTAAATCTGAAAAACATGTTAGCACATGGATGCCACAAACATATGCATAACATAATTTATTTTTTGTGTGTGTGTGCTCACATTTAATGTTTGTCTGCTGTGTGTTTTATGTGTGCATTTGGGCCAAAACCAGGAAGAGTTATATTTAAAAATCAAGGCAAGATGCTATTTAGGAATTGTAGTAATAGGACACCCATTTCTGCTGTAGCCCTGCTGTTTTATAGATTTCTAATATAAGCCTAGGCACGATTTGTTAAATAGCCTTTATGATCTTTGCAAATATAATTTTAAGTGTTTTAATTATTTGATAACTGAGSCAGCTAGCTGTCTGGCTAAAGGCCCAGGGATGCGCAGCTTCAACGGGATGCAGGTGATGCTGCTGCAGCGGCAGGGGCGTCCCTCCTCCCCCTCGACGCTTTGATTTTTATTTCTCTTACCTTTGGCTTTCTCTGTCGGGAAGAGTCTCTGCGCCTTCTCCAAGAACCTTAACGCCTTTTCCGGCTGGTGGCTGTTTAAAGCCGCGGTCGCGATGTCAATGCAGCGCTCCGCTTCGTCCTTGTTTACTTCCATGGCAGCAGCATCAGCAGCATCAGCATCTGCGACTGGATGCACTGCTGTCTGGGTGACACCACGTGGCTGCTGCAGACACACTAATGTCAGCCAGCAGATACAGAAATAATTTATCAGTATTCGGATCCGTTTTGATGTTTGCCTGTGTCATTCAGCGGATGTTTCTTTTGATCAACCATCCCCTGTCTTACCTTACATGTCCACTGGATGGCGACAAATAGCCAGATTTTCAAATGTAGGTCATGATTGTGGAAACATAGAAATGTATTAATCCTGATTAAAYTGGAATTAAATTATATTTGATGTTGTCCTATGATTAGCAATTCTCTTTTAGTTCAACACCACATTTGTCTTTGTGTTGTAAAATGTCATTTTTAAAATGCAAAGTACAAAAACCTGTAAACAAAACACTTAAAGCAAAATGCACATCTAATTAATCAGATACATCACTTTTAAAGCTATATATTTAAAATAGTATGCGTGATTATTAATTTGTTAATAAGCTTTTGCGTATACTTTCTATCCTGTGCTTCGCTGTACTCGTCTCAACTCGTTACTCGGATATGAATTCGTATTATTCACGCGTAGTTTAAAAATTAGAGCTGCAAGTCTGCACAGCGGTGGAAAAAACAGCAGCTGCTTCTCTCCGGTGGAGGTAAATATACATGTCGGCTGGCCGCAGCATGAATAAAAAGGTGAACAGGAGATAAACCTGCAGCCAATCAGGGCGCGAGTTCGAGGCGGCATCCGAGCTTCTGATTGGTCGGACGCAGCTCGAGCTCCATCTCTCATTGATGCGTTCGCTGCGGAGCGGACCATCGCTCCGTCTTTCTGGGTTACTGTAATTTTGGGTCAGCCGGATCGGCATCTTCTCCGTTTGAACCACCTCGAATCTTTTGTCGTCCGTCTGCTTATCTTCGGTGAGTCTTTAAAATACGTTTTTACATCACTGTTATGCAACGTCACGTGTTGCTACACCCAAAATCAACATCATGTTTTCTTCTCCCTTTTTTTTTTAAATCCAAACATCTCTCGTTCAGTAGCATCTTGACAATCTTGCTAGCTTAAAAATATAAACGTTTTTTTTTAGCGTTTTATTTGACCTGCAAACAAACACAGAGGCTATTATTTCGTTTTATTTATTTATTTATTTGTTTCTAATTCAGAGCATCACTCATCCAAAATGACGGGGACGGAGACACTGGAGAAAAGGCAGCAGCACAAGTGGAGCCAGAACGGGGCCGTGTGTTCAGACACATCCGGCGGGGTGGAGGACGCGTTCGACTCCACATACAGGGAGAAGGAGGGCCCCAAGCCCCCCAGGATCATCGTCTGGAGAAATGTCATAATGATGTCTCTGTTGCACTTAGGAGCTGTGTACGGCGTCTTCCTCATCCCTTCAGCCTCTTTTTTAACCTTGCTTTGGTGTAAGTAAGGCTATCTATCTATCTATCTATCTACCTATCTATCTATCTATCTATCTATCTATCTATCTATCTATCTATCTATCTATCTATCCATCTATCCATCCATCCATCCATCCATCCATCCATCCATCCATCCATCCATCCATCCATCCATCCATCCATC